CTGAGGCCCTGAAGCCCTAAACCCTATAAGCCCTAACCGCAACCCGCAACCCGGAACCTGCAACCCTAAAGCCCTAAAGCCCTAAAACCCTATAACCCTAAACCCCTAAGCCCTAAACCCTAAAAACCCTAAACCCTCCTAAAACCCTAAACCCTAAACCCCTAAAGCCTAAAACCGGAAGCTAAACCTTCCTCAAACCCTAAACTCTAAACCCTAAACCCTAAGCCCTAAACCCCTAAACCCTAAAACCCTAAGCCCTAAACCCTAAATCCCTAAACCTTAAACCTAAACCCCTAACGCCTCCTAAAACCCTAAACCTTAAAACCCTAAAGCCTAAACCCCGAAGCACCCAAACGCGCGCAGAGGCTCTCATCGAGACCCTGGAGTCCCGAGGCGTCCTTGGCCAGGCAAGGCCTGGCTCCGGTGTTTAAAAGAACTCTACGAGTTCCTATAAGGATCTATAAGGGCTACTATAGGTGTAGGGGTTTTAGGGTTTAGGGTTTAGGGTTTAGGGTTTAGGGCTTTGTACTTGGAGGGTCGGGGGACCTAGTACCTGGTTATTATTATAGACTTATAAGTACTCCACGTAAGGGATCTACAAGGGTGCTGTAGGGGTTTGGGTTTAGGGGATCATGAACTGAGGGTTTACGAGTTTAGGGGTTTAGAGTTTAGGGCTTGGGGCTTTGGGGTGAAGGGGTTTAGAGGTCTTGGGTTTGCGGTGTTGCACCGCTGGCAACGAAGCTTTTCTTTGCTTCAGGGCTTTAGGCTAAACCCTAAACCCAAAACCCTAAACCCTCCGCAATGGCGCTACAAGGGGTCCGATTAGGGTTCTATAGTCTGGGGCCTGTAAGGGTTGGGGCCTAGTTTAGGGTTGTAGGGGTTTAGGGTTTTAGGGTTTGGGGTTTTAGGGTTTTGGGGTTTTAGGGTTTAGGGTTTTAGGGTTTAGGGTTTAGGGTTTAGAGTTTCACAAGTCTGGACGTGCAAGTGTTGGCTGGTGATGTCAGCATCAGCATCAAGCTGCGGCGAGAGCTAGTAGCGGCTATTCCGGATACGGTCCATGTGGGACCTGAGCTGGTTTGCTTTCTCATCTTCAGCAAGAGAACCATAAAAGCCTAAGGCGAAGGCTCCCGGGGCAGGTGGCTTTCGTCAGGGTGCTGGTCGGAGACCACTCCCGAAGCTTCCGCCTGGGAGGGCTCCCTTAATTCGTGCTGCGGCGGGCAGACCAGCATTTTGCAAGTTTCCGGTGAAGGCGGTTGGCAGGCCCCCCCTTCCTCGGAAAGCAGTTGGTCGCCCGAGACTGCACGGTCCTGCCAGATGTTGCCGACTCAGGTTGACACTGCCTTCAGAAGAACATGTCAAAGCATCCTGGCAACCGTCGCTGCTCGATCTGGCGGCACATGCACCCCAACCCCTAAACCCTAAACCCTCTAAACCTCTAAACCTCTAAACCCTGAACCCTAAAACCCGAAACCCGAAACCCTAAACCCGAAACCCGAACCCTGAACCCTAAACCCTCTAAACCTCTAAACCTCTAAACCCTGAACCCTAAAACCCGAAACCTAAACCCGAAACCCTAAACCCGAAACCCTAAACCCTAAACCTCTAAAGCCTAAACCCGAAACCCGAAACCCTAAACCCGAAACCCGAAACCCGAAACCCTAAACCCGAAATTCTAAGGTTCTTCGGCTGAAGGCTAAACGGGTGCCCAAGGGGGGGAAACCATCCTACCGGGCCCGTTAGGAGCTGCCGAGCTTCTCTTCAAGGCAGCCTATATCCATAGGTTTAAGGTTTAGGGTTTCGGGGTTTAGGGTTTAGGGGTTTAGGGTTTAGGGTTTAGGGTTTAGGGTTTAGGGTTTGGGGTGTAGGGTTTAGGGGTCAGGGTCTCAGGTTTTACGGGTTGGGGTTTGGGGTTGAGGGTGCTGATGAAGAAGCGGATAAAGCTGATGATGAAGGAATTGGTGATTGCCAGGCCCTGCAGTAATACACCTTAACCCGTTATGTTTGAGCAGTTCCTCAAGAACAGGAGGAGAACACCCTTTTCGTTTCGTTGCCGGGATACTGGGGAAATTCGGATGATTGCTCCTGAGCTGTTGAATTCCTCTTGAGCTTCAGCAGCCTAAACCCCACATCCCAAAGGCCCTGAAGCCTACACCCTAGAACCCCTCCTCGAACCGTTCTAGAACGCTTACTCGACGACTACTCGACCCGTTCTAAAACCCATCCTAAACCAGCCCCGGAAAGGGGCGAAAACCCTATCATTCACACTTACGAGCTGTCACAAGCCCTTACCAAACCTGTAAATACCTTACGGACAAAAACTCACAAGAACATCTGTTTGTGAGACGCTTAACGAGCCTTGGCTTTGGCTTCGTGTTGTTGGAGAAGAGCTCCTCTTGAGAAAGACCCCTACACCCTAAACCCTAAACCCCTAAACCCTAAACCCTAGACCCCTAAACCCTAAACCCTAAACCCTAAACCCTAAACCCCTAAACCCTAAACCCTAAATACGGTAACCTAGTGCCAGGTCAAGGCCAAGGTGCGTGCAGAGATTTTTGCCGCCCTGGACGACGAACAGGCACGTTGTAGGGTTTAGGAATGAGGGTTTAGAGTTAAGGGTTTAGGGATGAGGGTTTAGGGTTCAGGGTTTAGGGATGAGGGTTTAGAGTTAAGGGTTTAGGAATGAGGGTTTAGAGTTAAGGGTTTAGGAATGAGGGTTTAGAGTTAAGGGTTTAGGAACGAGGGTTTAGAGTATGGGTTTAGGAGTGAGGGTTTAGAGTTAAGGGTGTAGGAATGAGGGTTTAGGGTTAAGGGTTTAGGGATGAGGGTTTAGGGTTTTAGGGTTTAGGGTTGAGGGATTAGGGTTGGACGACTCTAAAGGGTCTACATAGGCTTTAGGACGTCGGGATTGGGGTTGAGGGATTGGTGTGTAGGGATGAGCATTCGGGGATTAGGATTCAGGGTTTTTAGTTTATGGGTATTTCTTTATCGAGAGCTCCACGAACAGACAGAATGATGAGAAGTTCTTTGAGAAGATGGATGGCAAGATGAGCAGAGCGCAAGACCACGGCCTACTTGAGCGCGATGGCAGTGACGAGCTGAGGGCAGAAGATGCGAATAGGTTACGGTCGATCCTCGCACAAATCCTCTACGTGAGTCATGATCGATGGTATGCGCATCATGCCACCTAGAGCCTGGCAAGCCACGTTTTAAGGGGAGTAGGCCCTTGCACCACAATCCTGAAACCCTAAACCCTAAACCCGTGAAGCCCTAAATCCTCAATGGGTGTTTAAGTAATCCTTTAAGGTATCCTTCAAAGGCTCCTTTGCAGCTTGCTTTACAGATTCGATGCGGGGCTTCGTGCTTTAATTTAGGGTTTGTGGTGTGGGTTTAGGGTTTAGGGTTTAGGGGTTTAGGGTTTAGGGGTTAGGGGTTTGAGGTTTAGGGTAGAGGTTAAGGGATTTCCGTTCACTTGCTGTAGAGGATGACTAGTCTTGCATCATGATGTTCCAACTCGTGGGCAAGTGGTTGAAAGCACAATTTTCGGGTATTTTTTAAGTCGCCGCATAGTTAAGAGTAGCAGCTTGAACCTATACAGCCCTACGGTAATTGTACACCCAGCTTTGACCTATCTTCTAAATCCTCATGACTCCACCTTAGACCTTCTCGTACAAGACCTATGATTGCAACACCCTTCGACCTGAATCATCAAGCCTAAACCCCCAGCCCTACTTGGAGGGTCGGGGGATTTAGTAAGTAGTCATTTTCTAGACTTATAAGTACCATAACTTAACCCCAATTAGGATCCCTTTTAGGGTACTTAGAACTCTACTTGATGTCTACTAAGTCCCCCGACCCTCCAAGTAAACCTAAAACCTTCAACCTTTCAAGCCCGATCCCCTGCTAAACCTGGTATTCAAGCCCTATAAATAACGCCCCTTAAACAAGCCCAAGTAAGGCCTCTACTATAAGCCCTGTACCCATAGGCCCCCTAGTAGTTCCTTTTTGGGATTCATATTTAGAATCCTATAAGGTAATCCCAAAAAGGAACTACTATGGGGCCGATGGGTAACCGTTAAATCCCGTATGAAGCTCAAACGCCTCCATTCAGCTTGGGCAGGTCCAGCGCCCGCAGCTGCCTCGCGAGAATGCCTTGATCAATGAGCTGATCAAGGAGTACTTCGAGTACAACGGGCGCCCTCCCAGGGTCCAGGGTTTCGAGGGGTTTAGAGTTTAGGGTTTTGGGCCATGGTTTAGGGTTTAGGGTTTAGGGCCCCGGTTTAGGGTTTAGGGTTGAGGGTTTAGGGGTTGCCGTTATGTTTGAATACGGATTCTACAGGGCTTTCATCAGAGTCTTGTCGTGTTTTGCAATGGTTTCGGAATGGCTCCACGAACAGGCCTCACTGACAGTAATTAGAACCGGGGGTAAAGAGTAGGGCTTCGAAACCCTAAGGCCCTAAACCCTAAACCCTAAACCGTAGGGCTTCGAAACCCTGAAGACCTCCCGTAAAACTGCTTAAAGGGTCCGTGTATTGTCATTATCGCTAGGAGGTTCGGCGGTATCTGTTTGTGTTTTGTTGTGGTTCCCAGCATAGTGCCTAAACCCTAAACTGTTTTGGTTCCTAGTATAATCTATAACTAACCCGAAGAAGTACATACGATGTCCTAGTGGGTTGCTGAACAGCTTAGACCGGGCTACTAGGGTTTAGGGTTTAGGGTTTAGGGTTTAGGGCCATGGTTTAGGGTTTAGGGTTTAGGGCCCCGGTTTAGGGTTTAGGGTTTAGGGTTTAGGGTTTAGGGTTTGGAGGGTTTAGGGTTTAGTTTTAAGGATAGTGTCCGGCATTATAGGGCTACTAAAGCTCAGGAGGGCCTCTTCCGGCTTTGGGGGCCCAAACCCCGAAAACACCAAAGCTGAAACCCGCAACCCTAAACCGTTTAGGGTTTAGGGTTTAGGATTCAGGGTTTAGGGTTTAGGGTTCAGGGTTTAGAGTTTAGGACCCCTGAAGCCCTAAGACTTGAGCTCTGGACAATAAAGCCTTGAACCCTGAACCCCTAAGCCCCACAGCCCCCGAACCCTGAACCCCTACTTAGAGGGTCGAGGGGCGCAGCAAGCAGATATCAAGTAGAGTTATAAGTACCCTAAAAGAGATCCTTATTGGGTTATGGTACTTAGAACGCTATAAAGTCACTATTTAGTAAGTCCCCCGACCCTCCAAGCAAAGCCCTAAGCCCTAAACCCTAAACCCTAAACCCTAAGCCCTGAGCCCTAAACCCTAAGCCCCGGACCCGGAACCTCCAACAGCCATCGAAGGTACTACCACGCGCTGTCTGTGTTACTGGCCGAGAGCGGCCACCCGGAGGAGCTCTGGGTGCTTGTAAGGATTACCTAGGGTTTAAAGGGTTTAGGGTTTAGGGTTTAGGGTCCAAAAACCTACCAGTTTTAAGGGTTATGCCCTCTAATTATATAAGGGGTCATGACCTACTGTTTTGTAGGGTTTGGGGTCACAGGAAAGTTTTAGGAGTTTGGGTTTTCGGGTTTAGGGGTTTCGGATTGTGGGTTTAGGATTGTAGGAGTTTTCAGGAATTAGGATTTACGTTTTAGGAATTAGGATTTAGGGTTTAGGCCTTTCGGGGTTTGGGGTTTTAAGTTTTTAGCGTTTCCGGTGTGTGTACTTGGAGGGTCAGGGGACTTAGTAAGTGGATATTAAGTAGAGTTATAAGCATCCTAAAGGGGATCCTAATTGGGGTTATAATACTTATAAGTCTATGAAACAACGAGTTTCGACCCTCCAAGTAGGGTTTAGGGTTTAGGGCTTCGGGCTTTCGGGGTTCAGGGAAACCCTCGCAGGACGGATTTGAAGGAGCCCTCTCAGTCTCGAGCCCTAAACCCTGAAAGCTTCCCTACTTAGGGGTTTAGGGGTTTAGGGTTTTAGGGTTTAGGGTTTAGGGTTTAGGGTTTAGGGTTTAGGGTCTAGGGTTTTAGGGTTTAGGCTTAAGGGTTTTAGGGTTTAGGGTTTAGGGTTTAGGCTTTAGGG